ATTTTATTGTTAATCTTCTGGATTTCTGATTGCTGTCTCTTAATGGATTCTTGCAGCCTGTTAAATTTGTCATTATGCTCTTCTCTAATCTTTTTAAGTTCCTCTATTGTGTATCCTGCGTTTTGCTTAATTTCCTTCCTGATATTTGAAGAGTTCTGTATATTAATCTTTTGTAGTCTGCCTCTGGTAATTCCAATAAATTTTCTTCATCCAGAGAATTTCTAGCTTCTTTATTTTGTGAGCTTGCTGAAGCCATCTTGGTTTGCCTCTTTTTATGATTTGATATTGACTGTTGTCTCCAAGCCATCAATAAATTATTATGTTTAGTTATTTTATGTTTGCTTACTGTGTCCTAGCTTCCTTGTTCTATTTTGTTTTGATATGCCCAAATAGGCTGCTTATGTGAGCTATCCGAGTCACTAGTGCCCCTGAAGCTCTAATGTCTTGCCACCAGGTGGCCAGACCTGTCACTAAGTATGAGAGTCCAGGAGTCTGCCCACTCCTCCTATATGGATTCAGCTCAGGTGTCCAGGTAGTCGGCCACCAAGTGTGTGGTGTAGCCTCTCACCTACAGTTCTAGACAGGCATGGGTGATTGGTGTAGGCACAGGCATCCGGCTGCAGCAGGGGGACACAGGCTGAGCAAGGCAGGGGGCGATGGCCACCCGAGTTTCCAGGAGAAAAGCGTGTCCCTGTTCCCTAGAGTGCATAGATGGTTGGGTTTTGCAGCTGGACTATGAGCACCCAGTACTGTTGGCTATACGGACTGGGGGGCATTTCTTATTCTTGGGCCCCTGTCACAGGTGGCTAGGTGGCGTGGGTGGAGCCACCAGTCCTCAGGCCCCTGATGTGGGTAGGTGAAGACTCTGCTTAATGGGCTGAGCAGTGTCTAATGTCACAAACCTGCCACTTCACAGCTGAAACAGTTGAAGTTAGACTTCAGGTATATACCCTGTTGTACTGCAGTAATGAGGACCTGTGCTGCTGAAATGGGCCCACACGAGTTTATGCAGGGGGAAGGGCACTCAAAGTCCATGGATTCCTTATGCCTGTGCCTAGGCAAAGGAGCTGTGCCTACCCTTAATTCGTGGTTTAGGGGAGGTGGCAGATTATTTTTTCCCATTTGTTAATTTGTTTACTCTCCAAGGCCAGGAGAATGGCTCAGGGCGCATGACGGGTCCTACTTCCGGCCCAGGGGACCTGGCAATCACTGAAGCTAGACTCGGACCCAGTGCAGAGCAGGGAGCGGGGAGGTAAATGGGAAAGAGGTTTTTCCCTAAGGGGGGTATTTTTGATCTACTCGGTAGGCCAGACACTAGAATTTATCTCTTGCTGATCGAGGGCTGCTTCTCCCTGGTTCTGGATGGCCAAGTAGACTCTCTGCCACTGGGTCTCTCCTGATGTGGAAAACGCCTCCCGAGCACCAGCACTTGCCTGTCTCACCGCACACCACGAGCTGATCAGGCCTGAAGGGCTCAGGGTCTTGCCAGGTCAGGTCTGGCAACTCTTTGCTGCTTCCAAACTGTCTCTCCCACCACTGCCACTCAGTCCAATTCCTCAACTTTGCCTTTGATGTTCAGGGCTCCTAGATTGTCATATATAATCAATTCACTTGTTTTTTCGGGTCTTTGTTGTAAGAGGGATGACCAGAAGCATCTGACTACTCTGCCATCTTGGCCCCACCACCTCATTGTGGTTTTAATGTGCATTTCTCTAATGGCTAGTGATCACGAACATTTCCTCATGTGTCTGTTAGCCACTTGAATGTCTTCTTTTTTGAAGTGTCTGTTCATTTCCATTGCCCATTTTTTAATTGGATTGTCTTTTTTTGTTGTAGAA